GCGGGCATGCGAACACTAGATACGTCCTTCCATCTAGGACATGTATATACATGTATCCTCCTCATCATCGTCTTCCTGGACAGGTTTTGGGACTGCGGCCCTTTTTGGGGATTGCACACGCGAAACAGGGGAACGAACAACCGGCCAAATTCTTCTATTGGTTCTTCGCCCCATGACTCAAGTGCAACCAATCGTTGGTGAACATCATTCAACCGAACTTCAAAGGATGCCATCTTCTCAACACGTTGGTCAACCTTTTGTTCCAAAACTGTACCATTGAGCCTCATTTGGTCTCTAGCAAATTGGTTCTGACTATCGGCAAGTTGTTTACTCAAATCCTGAACCTGTTTTAGGAGTGCCTCCTCCCTGAGTCTGAATGCTGCAATCTCCTGCGATGCCAGAGAATGGTCCTGAGTGACCTCCTCAGGGGTTCGAGATTCGGCTTCTTCCACGGCTCGTCTGGCCTGAGCTTCCACTTGCTGAACGTGCATTTCTGCACTCACCTAAGTTTCAACGATGGCTCTTTGTGCCTCAGTACGTGTATGGTGTGCCTCAGTCTGAGCATGATGAACCTCAGTCTGAGCTTGCAGTACTGCATTAGCAGCTTGATTTACCAACTCAGGATCAGGTGAGGGTGCAACATACATTTGATTGACTTGTTGGTAGCTCACTGAACTAGTCCCCCGATCTCGAGAACCCATTTCATCATCCCTAATCGAACCTGGAGATGCATTTGTACCAGATGATCTGGTACATGGGTTCATTCGTACCAGATAGGGACCTAAGTGGTACAAATGGTTTTTTTCACGATTTTCACGTTTTTTCTCGGCTAATGGGGTCTTACAGCCTTCAGCCATGATCAATCAATCATGCAGTTGTTAACAGTGGCTGGCCGCTGTGGAGCCAGTCAACCCTTGAGCCAGTCAGTCCACATGCCAGTCGTATGGCAGTATACTGCATGGAAACTTCCGCTCCAAATATATACATATATTTATATATACATCTATATGTGTGTAAAACATATTTATATCTAACTTATATACCATATATAAACCAACACATTGTATATATGGGGAGGGTCCTATATATATATATCTATCTATCTATCTAGGTAAAACACATAAAACCCAAAAGATGGAAAATTTCAAATTCCAAAAGGGGTGTCTTAAACCCAGGGAATGGTTTGACATGTCAAAAACCCTGTGAGCATGGTTTGACCTAAAAACCTTGGGCAACCAAGCATACATGTGCAGTGTCCATTGCAGACCCAAAAAAAAGTTCAAAAATTTGAAACACAATCCCACGATTACTCGAGTCGCACCATTTTTTCTCACAATTCAGCCATGATTGCCTCCAGTTTGGGGCGCAAGCCCAATAGCCACCTCTGAAGTGACCTTTCCGTACTTTGAAGACGGTGTGTCCGTTTCTTTATTGTCATCCATCTTTTCACAGAGTCTTCGTCCATCCATGTGCTTAGATAATGAAAATTGTAAGCTGAAGCTCTGCCAGATTCAAGGAACAGATGATGTAAAAGATGCATTTTTGGCCTGATTTTCCATAGGCGGTCACCTTGCTCCAGGGATTCAGACGCCAACTGTGAGTAGGTCCGAATCAGCAAATTTCCAACAGTCTGGACTTGTTCCTGTTGGCCAGGTGTCAAAAACAAATCTGCATTTGCCAGCAATCCAAAAATATTGTTCGATGCCTAAATGAGGGTTCGTAGAAGATGTGGAACTTCAGCCCGCCCACCCTGATCCATTTCAGATTCCAGCCATTTGAGAAGCACAAATGTATCATATCCTTTGCAGTGAGCCTCTGGATACTCACGGGATTTCCAGTTTAGGTTCGCTTTGCTCAAGCGTTTCAATCGAAGAGGCAAACGGTGCTGTTTTGCAAAGGATCGCATTGAAACCGATGCTGATGCCAGTTGCTGGTCTAGGTTGCTACCACGCCAAAACCGTAACCGTGCCAGAACACGGATTGCACTTGCAACCAAATCTCGGCCTGTACCAAGATGAAATACATGCAGAATATCCAATCCCAACATCTTCAAATTGAAGCCTGGAAGTTTACTCCAGTGACGGTTCCTCATCCCATGGGAGTGTCGTGTAAATTGTGTCACGCCACGGTGCATCATTTGCACAGTTTGTGTAGGCCATTTGAACATCGTGCGTCCCTTTGGTGGCTCCACATTTCCAACAGACCTGACATATATGGGATCTTGGACATGTACCATGCCAAGTATTATACACACCAATTTCTCAAGCCAAAAAAGTTTACAAATAACACGGTCATTCCCTTTATGCTTCAAAATCCAAACATTGTCTAACGAACCTGTTTGGGAGGAAAAGTAAAAGCATCCCATTTTTTTCCAATACACAAGCCTCCTCTTTGGTGGCATAGCGGTTTAATGAGAAGAGTTGCCATATGTACTTCCAGTCGCCCTTGAAGTTCATGCAGAACACATCAAACTCCATCACCTTAATTGGATGTGCCCAAACCATGCATCGAGCATGCCATGGAAGCAGCCCAAAAAGCCCAGACCCCAGCCCGGTACTTGGGAGAAAAATGGATCCAGGTGATTTGTTTTCCAACATATTCCAATTTAAAAGCAAGGTGCTGGTTCACCTTCTGGGGATTTTTCATGGAGCTTCAATCCACTCAGCGCGTTGCAAATGTGTTGCCCGGCAGATTGCAAAGTTAAATTGATCTCACCATCATAGACGCAGTGAGAGCTAGGAATAGTTGTGATCAAAAATCGGCTCGATGCAGAGTCTGAAGCCCGTGGCGCCAATTCAGGTTGCCAGTGGAAGCACATATAGTTGCCACCAAATGCTTGGCCCTCATCACCTGGTTGACCGGCCAATCAATAACCATGTTTTTTTTCCATCCCCAAAATGTCAAATTTGATGGAAAGTTTTGGCAAGTGACCATAAAACATGATTGGGATCGATCCCAGTGGATTCGCAGCTGCTGGATGATCAGGATATTCTTGAAGCATGTGGGCCCAATAGTCACCCAGCTTGCTCAGGTCCACCAGGATATCAAGAAATCCTTCATCCAGTAGTGTTTAGGCCTCAAGATCACAAGTGGGACCAAACTGATATTTGAGACCAGATATACACACACATATATATGTATATATATATATATATTCATTTGTTTATATTTATATATATATTTTTTTACTGTATATCAAGTCAGGGCATTTGCCAAACAACTCAGCCCCAAGCCATGTTGCTCGGAAGAAGAAACGGCCAGGGTTTCATCTCAATTAGTGGCGTGCCATCATCAGTGTGCCCAGTGCACATAGGCAAATCCAGGTACTGTAGGTCACATCCCATAGCGAGACCAGTACGTTTGCTAGCACTGTGCATTGCAGACTCCGAAGTTCGATTGGGACTCAGATAATTTGCACATATTTTGCAATCCATGCAGTATAAGCGAAACAAGGGCTCACACGCGTTCACACTTTTGAAACTTGACCACCAAACAGTTTGACAAATGGATTTCAAACTAAATGCAGAGAAGTGTCTTGTTGAAAACTTCAGATGCAAATAAATCACCAACTGCACGGGCATGCTTTGCTGTAGAATTCCCAGATCCAATGCCAGAGGCCAGCCTGAGGAAAAAACAATGCAAAAAATATCCAACTTAGATTGCCGGCAGCACACACCAACCTGAGGCCGAGAAGCAGTTGGTCCAACTCCTGTGCTGGATTTGTCGTTCCATCTGGCAGGGCACCTGCGAGGGTCAGGGTCGTGGTGATTTTGAAAAGGGGAAAATGCAGTCCAATACCAAAACTCAGAGGCACTAAATGTGAGAGGCATTCCTTTTTTTTTCACATTTGAAGCTGGTTCAGAATGTGGCATATTCCACACTTTCAGCACGATCGCTTCGCCATGCTTCGCCATCTGAATCATACAGAAATTGTTTCTTTTCAGAACTTGAAACTCAGGAAACATTTTGCGACTCAGCCTAAGGCAAAGCATATCTCGAAGATCTAGTGATCATTCTTTGATCAATCCTTTCATCCATCCAAGCCACCTGAAACACAAGATTTGATTGGCATTCCAATCAGTGCCATCCCTGCCAAACACCCGAAAAGTTGCTTTTATACAGATTAAGTGGGGCCAAGTACAATATATATATATATATATGTACATTACATAACCTTTAACATATATATATATATTTCCAAAAAGATAGATCTAGATAGATCTAGATCTAGATAGATAGATAGATAGATAGATAGATAGATAGATAGACATATAGATAGATTGATTGATAGATAGATTTATAGATAGATAGTTTGATAGATAGATAGATAGATAGGTATAGATAATATAGATATAGATATAGATATAGATATAGATAGGGATAGATAGGGATAGATAGAAAGCTAGAATAGATAGATAGATATCAGATAAATCGATAGATGTATATATATGGGTACCCCAGCAAGGTTCTAAGGCACTTTACCCCTACCAGGTGGCATATCAAAAGTCCAAAATGTGGGCATCTTACGCGGTGCCCCAGGCTCACGAAGCATTCTGCTTCTTCAACTCTGCGAGAACCGCACGTGCCTGGGCCTTCACAAGGCGACAGCTCTTGACCTGGGCAGGGATCGATAAGGATCATCCGTCAGAATGCCAGTGGCATCAAATAGCAGCTGAAACATACATTGATTGCATTATAAATATGTTTGTTTGGTAAACATCATGGCCAGGGCAGGCCTCTGCGTCGATCTCATTTTTCAGATCCAAGCAGTTTGCATTTGTTTGAACTGCCTTCATCCTTAGGTAAGGCACACAGGACAAAGCAATTATATATTCAATTGAATTCTGCAGATGTTCAAAACAGGGTTTTTGGGTAAATGCAGCCAAGGTGCTCATCCATATATTCTTCGAATCTGGTTTTGTAGGCACCCAGCGTGGTACGCAGCTGGTTGTTCTGCGGCAATTCCAGGAAAACCGATGTGACATTCGAAAGCTCCTTTTTCAGAATGCCACCTCAGAAAAATGTTTGCATACTGTATAGCTAGCTGGAATGGCTGGATGGATAAATAAATAAATAAATATATATATATGATGGCATATATGGATCAATGATATCAAGTGTTGCATTTGAGAATAACTGAGACCATGGCTGATCTCAGCCTTCATCTCATCCATAGTTTTCGGGGGCACTTCTGACACACCAGATGAAGTCACGGAGGCTGCTTTGGCCTTCGCCTTCACCTTTGCTTTGGCCTTCGCCTTGGTCTTCGGAGCTGCAGCGACAGATCCTGGCAGACCAGGTTGCACCCCAATCTTAAGTATTATACCATTGTGGGTTTTGGGGTGATACTTGCATATATGATCAAATATGTATAATGTAAATAATATATATATATATATTGCGTAGTAATTATTAAGGGTGTGTATACGTTATATGCGTGCATATGTGTATAAAATACATACACATACGTATATAACCACACATACACATATAAGATACATATAAAATATATACATACAAACAATCTTATATATACCATATGTGTAGTCATGTGCCTATGTTTTTTTTTATCATGGCCATGGCTCTAAAAGTCTTGCTTTGGCAAAACAAAACCATCAAAAAGTATAGAACAAACAACTGAAGCCACAGTCCTTCATCCACGCTTGGTGCCTGCAAGCTCTGCAGAATTTGTTGCATGCCATCTGCCCCAATCGCCCGGGAGCACGAAGAAGAAGGTGCAGCAGAAGGCACAATTGCTGCAAGGGTGCTGGAAGCATCTGCCTGCATGCGCACGCTCGATTCCATCTTCACTTCATCGGTGTCAATCTCCTTGGTCGACGTGGAAACCCAAAACCTGGTCAAAGATGCAATCCCCGGGCAGTCCGGGTCTGGCACCCCGTTTCCCCGGGCGACAATCGCCCTGATTTTTTCAATCGGGATGTCGCGCTTCTGCATCTCCTGGGTCGTGAGGAGCTCCCGCGTCGACTTGTGCTGATTGGCGCTGTGCTTGGAGAGCACCAGGTCAGCTTCGATTGACTGGGCATTCGAATTGGATGCAACCCATTGCTGCAGGAGCTGCTTTCTGTCCTGATTTGTTTGCAAGAGCTTGCAAAAACAGGGGCATCCCATGTTTCAAAAAGAAGCATCGTTTTTGGTAAATTTATGGGATAAAAAAAGGGCGCCAAAACAAGCCAAGTCACTGCCGCGGAGCCGCCCCAAAGCTTCTGCATGTGTGGAAACTTCGCCCCCTCCGATGACTCCTCCATCAAACGCTTCAGCCTCATTCCCTCCTTTTTATGGGAGGACCAGTTGACCTCAGTGGGCGCCGGGCCCTTGGGAGAGCCCTCTGCCTGCTGCTTCGCTTTGGCCACGGCATTCTGGTTTTGAATTTGCAGCCTGGTCTCATGGTTCTTCATCAAGGCCTGCAGGCCTGCAAGTTCCAGGGTTCGATCTGGAGGTCCTGCAGGCGTTGTGTCTGCTCCTTCTCCTGCTTTCTCCTCAGCCGGTTCCACAACAGCTGGTGACTCGATCGGATGGTCCACAGTCTTCTCAGCCGGTTCCACTGCAGGTGGCTGGATCAGGGCCTCCATACCTGCTTGCTCAATCTGCTCTGCTGCTTTCTGGGCAAGTTCTGGCACAGCTGCGTTCACAGGTTCCGGTACTTCACCAGCATTTGGTTCTGGAAGTGGGGCTGCGGCGCCATCAGGCAAAGGACCATTGGGCTCTGCGATCTCAGGTTCAGTTGGGCTTGCACTTGGTGTCAGCCCCTCTTGGTTGTCAGGGTACTCCTGCCAGGCTCAAAAAAAAATGTGTTGTTGGACACAATGTATATCACACACATAATATATATATATATTTATTTATTTATTTTATTTACTTATTGTTTGTCTATATATATATATTTCTTGATTTAATGGCTAAACCTAAGAATCATACACATATAAAATCCATAACATATTGATATCATTAAATCTAACCACCCCATATTTTTATATATATATATATAGATAGATAGATAATGAACCTAGATATTTAGTTGTTTTTTGGGCTTTGGCCATCCCAGCCTTCAAGGGAGTGGAAATATCCACCAGCGGAATGGCACGTCGAAGCTCACCTGGGGCCGAACTGCTAGAACTGTGCTTCAGCTGATTCTCCAACTCCTTGATACGAACCAGAGACTCATGGAGCAAATTCTGCACATTGCCCGATGCATCACCACCCAGCCTTAGTATAAAAATCATACATGACTATATATAACGCACCATTTGGAGGAAACAAGTTGATTGATTCGGCATGCCAATGGGTAAATTAGGGGAAACATATACTGGCAAATGTTCATCCCAAACAAAACAAAACTGCTAAGTTCAAAGTTCGGCTTCCAAACAGAGAGAGAGATATATATATACACAGCATCATTGGTTTGAATAAATAAGCCAGTCTCCCATCCAAAACACATTAACTTGATCTGCAAGAAGCGGCAACGTAGTCGCATTGGAGATCGAATCCACATCCTTTAGCGTTTCAGCTGGACGTTGGTGGTCAAGAAGGGACAGGGCTTCTTGCAGGGTTGCACAGGACCTGGGAATAGCCATGACACCAACATGTGACATCATCATTGAAGTTGGTGACAGTTACATTTAAGATGTCTTTGCAACATTTCATCTACAATAATTAATCATGAAAATGATCTCCACCATATATGTGCATGCTATGAATGGTTGGCATTGGAAAATTGATCCAAGAAACCACAGAGTTCCATCTTGTGTATCTGCAGCATCAGCAGCTCTCGCTGGCAACGAGGCCTCTGGAGCCATTGCATTCTTCGGTTCGACTGGAGCAGCAGGTGCCTCAGGTGCCTCAGGAGTCTCTGCCACATCAGCATTTGGCTTGGTAGCCTTTCTCGCCGGGACATCAGCTGGTGGTGGGGCAATGGGTTCTTTTCTTTTGCGGGTCACCTCAGCACTTTCAGCCTGAAGTTCCTCATCCACCTCATGTGGTTCCTCTTCCTCTTCTTCATCAAACCCATGTGGCCCTATGTCAGTTGGGACAGTTTTCTCCTTCCTTCCCTTTGACTTCCCACCAGACTTAGCCATTGCTTTTGCCTTTGATTTGACGGCAGTTTTTTTTACTTTCTTTGGCTTGGACGACGAAGCCTGAACTTTGGATTTGGCCTTTCCCTTGGCCTTCTGAGTTTTTTTTGTCTTGTCCTTCTTGGCCACAGGCTTGGCAGGCTTTCCATCATCCTGAGGTGTAGTGGATTGTTTATTGATATCAGAGTGAGAGAGAGATATACATAAACCAATATAACACACAGTTTGTGGGTAAAGAATGTCCTAAATATTTTGTATATAAAGGGCAAACAACAGTTGAGCAATCACTAAGTAAGCCAAGTTTCTTCAGGCCGAGTGCCAAGAACACGTGTCAAGACACTGATCGCTTCAGTCTTGCTAAGCTTCAGGGTCTTTTGAACCACTGGTAGTTTGTCCCAATTGAGCTCCACCAATGGGAATGGTAGATCTTGAAGCGACATGGCCCCACACAAGCTGTCTCACTAAGCTTTCCAAATGCTGCAAGATTCACCACAAAAACTGTTATCCAGATTTGTTCAAATCATGTTCAAATCACTGCATGTAGGTTTCACGAATTTCACGGTATTTTCACGGTCAAATGCGGTTTTTTCACGCTCATATCACGGATTTTCACGGTTTAAAACCGGTAAGAATTATGGTTGAATTCGGCATCTATGTGGCCAAAGTGAATTTTTCACATCAGCTGGTAGGGCTGGAAGAAAATCACAGCCACCCCAAGCTTGAAGTTCTGAGCTAAAGGGTCAAAGGTGCTTCAGGTCCAACCTTTTGAGTATGCTTGCCTTAAAGAGCTGGCATGCATCAATATCCATTGTATAGTGCTGCATGGTTGAAACACTCAAGCGTGGCGGCCCTGAGGCCACCACCCATTTCCCTGGAGCCCGCAGATATTTGCAGCCAGCCAGATACTTCAGGACTGCTGGGACTTCGGCCTTGGTGACAGGGAGACATCAGGGATGGTGAGACTTGTTTGAAACATTTTGAAACCCAGCATCATCCAGCACATAATACGTATTTCCTTTTTTCATGTATAGACGATTCCAAGTTGCATCGTGCCAAAGGTCCCCCAAAGAATGAAGACCATCCACAGGTAGGGGAAGAAACGCTGATTCAAAGAGCTCTGCATCGCCATATCCCGGGCTCACATCCATAGGCTGGGTTGGCCCTGGCAATAGCTCCTGACAGGTTTGTATATATGGTATTTAAAGCTTGCTACCCATAGGTGGGAAAGATATTACATATATTAAGCCGCCATGAATCACAATCTCCTTTGGAGGTGCTTGGATGATGCGAGCAATCAAGTCCGCAAAGGATGCTGTATACGCCCTGAACCAGGGTGCATATTGGAAAAAAACATTCACAATTTTCACAAGACACTGCATGTTGTATAATTTTGCAACTTAGACACTGGCTTTCCTTGAGCCGAGCAGGGATTCCCACCCGTCGCAGTTTTCCATTTTTGTCATGGTACTTCTTCACCAGGGATTGCCCAGGCAATGATTGCATGGCTGCACGGCTCATATGCCCACCAATTTCATGGATCTCTTGAAGAAGCCCCCAATCATTAGACCAGAGGCGATGCCTCTTTGGGGTTTTTCCATTGAAAGCTCCCATCCAGAACGATGTGGTAAACACCTTAATAAATACAGATGGCACGATTGCAAAATGCAGCATGCATGAAGCTATAGACACACACACACAAAAAAATAAAATAGTTCCAAGAAACTTTGGTCATGCTCAGGAATTGCTGGAATCGCGGCGTGTTAGGCAAAGACGAACCTTCTGGCTGCTCCACTAGCCAGCGACACCCTCTGCAAGAGCAAAGAATCAGCAAAAGTATGAGGCGACTTGCAAGGAGGTTCCCAATTCTCACAAACTCGTAGCCGTCGTTTCCAAGATAATCATTCAGGACGTCGCGTCCACTGGTGTGTGAAGACCTGATCTTTGTAGGAGCATACCATATATTTTTTTGCATATCGATCGCATGCATTATGTTGCACAGACTCAAAGACAGTAATAAGCCAAGTGGCATCCGTGTGAACGAGTTGCAGCAAATCCCAAACATGCAAAAAGCCCCAGGAACTGTGTTCCACACTTCGTTTACTGCCATCCTTAGATTCATATGTGGAATTGGAAATGTTCATGAAACAGCAGGAAACACATTGTCACAGCACATCAACTTCACACAATTGTGAGCCAAGAAACGCGAAACCATGAGGGGAGCACAAGTCCATTAACTTGGAGTAGCGTAGGTCATGAGAAGATCCTTTGATTCCACAACTCCATAGGGCCAGGCTAATCTGTCCTTCTCCGGCGAAAAACTCACAAAACCCTACATCCAGTTTCTGCGGCACCTTCGAATTAAACGAAAGGAGCACCACCAGAAGCATGAGCACAGCAGGGGCTTTCCACTTGAGTAGCTCCATGATCACCATCTTTGCCCACCCGGTGTTTCGAAAGCAAATGTAATATATATATATGTATATATATGTGCAAAAATACCGATACAAAAATCTTACCTATATGTGGTATTTTATTTTGTACAACTTTATGTATGTTAAGATACTTATGGATACTTTTGGATATATTATATAGATATTTAGGTGTACATATATATATATATATATTTATATGTGTGTGTTATGTTTTTTCTCTCTCCTGCTGCTTCCCCTCAGCTGTACCGTGCAGGACCCACTTGAACCAGCTGAAGGTCACCGAAGCTGCCAAGTTTTTGCTAGCACAGGACCAGTTTTGTGACAGGGTGGGCATGGTTTCTTGTCACAAAAAGAGGACTTGATCATGATCTGAAATCTTTTTTCACCAAAGCATCCCCAACTTAATTGCACATCAGGCAAAGTTGCCTGTTCAATTTGACTGCGCACTTTTTGCGCTAAATTGAATTTAGGACCAGACGATTTGTCTTGCACCAAATACGTGCTGAAATCACCTAGCTGTTTATGTTTGCCCAACAACAAGACAGGTTCAATTGGCCCAGGGGTTGTGATCACAACCTTTTTCTATGAAACGTCTGCGCTTGAGCTCAGACACACTGACAGTAGACAAAAAATTTCTCTTCTGCGAAGATTGATTCCAAGCCTCAACTGCCTGGCCCTTCAAGACACCAGAGCTTACCATGGATTTGATAAACTCACGTTTGATCTGGGAGTAAATCCAAGGATCAGAAGTATTTTCACCTGAAGCAGCTGCAGCTTTAGCATCACCTTTCTTGACTTTAGCGCTCTTGACATCAGGACGACGCTTTCTTGTCGACTTCGATTTGGGCTTGCACGGTTTCCCAGCTTCAAGTTCAGCTTCATCTGGATCTGGACCACGACTCTCACCCTTGCTATTGTTCTTGTACTGGGCAGATTGAGGGAATGGTTTCGGAGCATCACCCAACGTCTTGAGGGTTTCGAGAACCTCAGTTTGAAAGCATGTATATGCATTGATATGCTTACATATCCATGCCATATATGTGTATATGTATGTATATATGTGTGTATAATATATATATATATATGGGTACATATATGATACACAACATCCATGCACACAATTTGAAGAAACAATAAGACATGAAAATCCAAGCAACATGTGCAGGCAACTCTTGCTGTGGCAAAGGGCGTGTGTCCCTCTTGGAATCATGAAGCCGTTGTGCCTTTTCCATCATGATTTTCAATTGGTCACCCATTGCCACTAAATCCTTCGATTTCTTTTCAGATACATCAGGATCAGGTACCCTTGGTTCTGAATCACCAGTCTTGGATGCTGAATCCTGAGAAAGGCCTGCAAGCATTTGTTCAGCAATCCGGTTAAGTTTTTTGTCCTTGAGGCTTTCAACTTTGGGCTCATAGTGGAGAGTCCCGTCGGATAGCTCGGAAAGAGTATCCGTTGCTGCTGAACTCAATGAATCATCGAACTCATCATCATCAGGGTGATCACCAAGGTCATTCACATCCTTAAATGAGTTAGCGATCAATGACAAACTCAGCCATTTCAATGAGAAACTCAAACATGTAAAAGCCAAGATATCCATACGATATGAAAAACTATCAAACTAAGTGCTGCAAAGCTGCGATGATTCGGCTGAGCCGTTGTTTGAGCTCATTGGTGGCCTTCAATTTGGCACTTCCTGCTCTCTGAAGTAAACGTCGAAAGCGACTCACCTAGGATCAGGGCAGAAACAATATAGTGGATATATATATATATTTAGTTTTACATATTTATATTTATATTTGTATATGTCATGGCTTTCAATATATAGTGAATGCATATATACATTTATACATATCCCCTGTATACCTGCATCCCAAACATAAATATTGTGTATATATACAAATTGCAAATCTTTGGGGAAATTTGGGGAGAGAGAGAGATATATGATATGTTCTTTCAAGTGTGACCAAGATGCTAATCTCTGAAGAGCTTGGCCCATGCGAAGTGCCCAACGCTCCACACACTCCATTTGCGCACACATACCTTTTGGATAAAGTCTCTCCACCGAGAAGAACTTCAGGATGGATTGGCACAAAATGTGCGAGCTGAATCTACCCTTGCCTTTGGAGATCACCATGATAGCTTCTATCACCTACAGGGCTTGGCTCGCACATGACCCCAAAACACCTTCGATACAATATATACTGACAAAACTATCTGTACACCAAAAACTCGATGGGATAAATATTAAACACAAATCACAGATTTTGGTAACATGAACCTCTGTGTTTGCATCTACATCCTTCAAAGTTGGACGGCTGTTCACAAACAGCTTCCCAGAGGTATTTATCAGGAGTGAAAAGCCCCTTGTCTTCAGCACAGGGATTTTGCGGAAACCCTCAGCATATGCATTGATCAACTTCGCATCCAGAGGTTTGCCCATGGCATCTGCGAACCCTTGCGAACCCCCACAGAATTGTATATTTTTGGATCCAGATACCTTTTGGTCAAGTTTAATCTGAGAAAACCTTTTATACAGAAAAAAAAATATATATATTCATGTATAGGTGATATGTACCTAGTTCCTGGTTGAAAAGGTTGTGATATTTACCGATGAAGGTAATTGTGAAAACTTCGGAATCAACTTTGGAATCATGTCATGTGGGATCAAAACATCATAATGGGACTAAATCTTCAAATTAAATCTTGATATGCTGCTGCTTGTCAAACTATGTTCAAGCAGATTGCTGCCATTGAGCCTGTCGACCCATCACCCAGAATCACCCACATATATGGTGTGAGCAGCAAATTTGGTCACTTGCACAGCAGATAGCACGGCCAAGGTGCACCTAGTTGCCACAGCTTCGATGGCCTCAAGGAGTGCCAGGACAGGGCAAGCTGAGAACAGTTGTTGATGGTGTTCAAAGTTTTTTTTGTTGATTGAAATTCATAAGAAATGCTTTGCATGGGTATGACAGCAAAGTGAAAAGGCCATAATTGAGGTCCCAGCATTGCTCATCCAGGCCATGTATATATATCATCGATATCGGGCCACCTGTGGGAAGCAATTCAAAGACAAGCCATCTAGGCATGCGATGAGTCAGAATCTTAGAGTTGAAAACCCATGTCAGCATGAGGCCCACACAGAGTCCAGATATCCAGGCAAAAGCAGATAATCAGCCATCGCATCGAATGAATGCACCTCCAATGGCATCAGAAAGGAGTTTGGATTTTGATGACATATATATTGGACCAATGAAATTTCACAATATTCAGTGTACTGGCATTGAAGTGCAGTCATGTTGTTTTCACATAGGGCAGATTCCAAAATATTTTAAAGCTCCCAGGGGTCAAGCTCACAAAATTGCAGGATGCTGTACCAGAGATCTATCTACTTTTGGGCACTGTCTTCTGCAGGCTCGGTGGGATTGGAGACAGACTCCGCATGTGGCTCATAGATTTCCTTCCGCAAGTTGTCCAGCAAATCAAGTGAGTGAAAATAATTGTTCTCCAGTTTCTTGATGTTCTCCGCCTTGGAATGTTTTCGTTTTTTTGGGTGATCAGGGTTGATTTCAAAACAGAAGGTCAAAAATGCATTGGTTCAAATCAGTCAATTTCACTTCTCAAGTAACTATTTGCAGGATAAGGTGCAACCTTCTTCATAGTTGCCTCGTGCAATACAGACTCCTTTCTGCAGTGCTTAGCTCGGTCCATACTGATTCTGCAGACATCCTTATAGACGTTCCGGGAGATGTAATCAGGATGATGACCTGATCCAGCAGCAATCAGATCAAAATCAAAATATATATATATATATATACGCCCCAAACTTGTTTGATGTGGGTGAAAATAAAACAAGCAACCCCTTTTTGTGGACGATCCAAAAAATTCAAGCAAGAGACCACGCATGATCAGATCTCTTTCTTTGTCAGTGATTGGGTCGCTGGTGCTGTAGTCCAAAGCATCCAAGCCTTGACATGGCAAATAATGTTCATCCCAAAACTTCGAACAGAACATATGGATATCCTATTTATAGTATATTATATATATATATTTATGTATATATTTATTTATATATATGTAATATATATATATATATTTGACATGATCATCATTGAGATTTCCTTCATGCTTACATTTTGCAATTTAGACAGATATACAAACAGATATGGTATATTTGTGCATCATCGTTTGCACCCACCAATGTTTAGTGACATGAATCCCTTCCCAATAGATCGTTCAAGGTCAAACCAAAATGAAAACAAATTAACAGAGCAAGCTGCTTTCTTCATCCAGATCTGAAACTTCTGCATCCACAGGATGGCGGCCCAGAAAGTCTTGAAGGATGTGCACATGGTCAGGAGGACCTGGGGGTGGAGGTCGTGCTGCAGCTGGCAACCCACCTTAGATATGGGCCGCAGCGACACATATGAAACCCCAATTTAAAAAGAGAGTTACAGTCTCCCTATATCAGAAAGGATCCAAATTCCACACAAATAAGAAAAGTTGAAGTATGAAGTCATCCAAGAACCCGTCAGAGAAACTTTGGGAGTTGGAGAAACATAGGGGTGCGGCCGCCCTACCTTAGCCATAACAAATTTGGCCAGTAAAGCACATGGACAAATATGCAGTAAGTTTTCGAGAAAAGACAGGCTTTGCATGGTAGGATGTTTCTCCATCAAGTTGCCATAGTTTCACGCCCTGGTGCACCACTCATCCGGTCCTGGAATTGATTTGTGTGATATGAAGTCTGAATATGAGATGAAAAAACATGCAGTCAAAAATAGAAAGATGCCATGAAAGATTTCAGTCCTGCTCCCTACATCCGCGATTCATGGCTTTGGTAGCCAAAGCGGGCACCCAGGTGGCTGCATGGATGCTGAAAGTTGGCCACGGCGGCGCTAGCTGATATGTGGACATGTGGCGTGGGGAGATACTGCTTCAAATCTGCTTACATAATAATTACCACCAAAATGTTGTCCAAGTGGGCATAGGTTCAAGTTGTGCATGTGTTTTCCTGAAATTACAGGGCCATAGAGAGAGAGAGAGAGAATATATATATATATACCATTGGTTTTGTGGCAACTGCCAGATTCACAAAAAGGGTTTGAAGAAAATGTCAGGTATCCCAAAACATAGATCGATATACATCAATATATAACTATCTTTATGTTTTAGATACAGTACATCTAATAGAGTGAACTCTCAGGGCTCCAAAACACCAGATGTCCACACCGGTTCAATCCTGGCCTTCAAGGCCTTCATGGGGCCATGGGCCATCGAGCGAAAGATCCTAAAAATTAAAAAACATGTGTCTTTTGATTTTGAGATAGGCAGAACCCTGAAAAGGGATTGGCAAAAACATGTTTTTTCAAATTTGGATGAAGTTAGGTTAACCGTAAAAGTATTGGAATTGAAAATGGACGTCAAACGTTTGGAACTTCTCTCAAGATCTATCGATACCATTATCCCACACCAAAGGTGTGGGCCATTGAGCCTGGATCTTGGAAAAACGCGAGGATCGAGCAGCAACCCTGTGTGGCCAGGGAACCTTGGAATATGATTATGGGGACCCCAATTTAAAACCGCAAACCCAAAATCACTCACCATTAAATTCAGAGATGTTTTGTGAAACCCCATGTCTTGGTCACCTTCAAACATAGTTTGGAAATTTCAATGACTCCAAAACAATGATGATTGGTATACACAGCCTTTTTTTTGGTGACTTTTCAGGGTTTTCCCCTTGTGTGCACCACCACCATATATTAACAAGCATACATACGTACATGCATATTTAAAATACATATATAGATGATATTATATATATATCATATATATATATATGTTTTACGTACAGTACCTGTATATTACAGGTACTGAATATAAGAAGCAAAGCTAGCAGCTAGCATGCCAGCTGGTCAAAAACAGAGGCAAACTTTGCAGAGCAAGCACTTGCAGTGCAAATCCTGGATCAAAAACTCACTACATGATGCAAATTTCTACACTTTGCTATTTTCACGGTTTTTCACGCTCATTTGGGGGGCCTGACCTTTTCAGGTACAAATCCCCAAACGACCCACGTACCAGATCATCTGGTACAAATGAATCTCCAGGAATGATCAACTCTACCCCTACTGGCCGATCGCGCAAGCGCTGAGCTGGGCCTTTCTATTGAGGGTTTCATTTGGGATCTTTTGGCCGAATGAATAGATGATGATCGTGAACTGTCAACCATACTATCTTGAATCATTCCTGGAGCTCCCTTCTTCCCAGAAGAAGTGGGGTTGCCACCGCTAGTCGAAGCTGATAAGTTGAGTGAACTTGAAGTTCCTGAGTCCATGATTAAAAAAATCCAACCACAAGCAAGCTAATCCTCTGAATCCAGACTATCTGCAGATGAGGCTCAGTCTGAGCTGTGATTTCATGGAATACCCCACCAAGGCGCTTGGAAGTTCCGAGGGGTGAACTTGCCAGCACAATACTGGAGAAATTCACGAACAGATGCAACCTCACCTCCCCACGAGCGTGGTGCGTAAAGGATTCCCTCAACGTTGCGTCTGCGTCAAGCGGTTAACACGCTCACTTTATCGTCCAAATGAGCGTGGCAAACTTCTGAAGAATTTGGATGTTTGTATTGATCACTGGTGATGTGCAAACAACACACCTGGGCGTCCCCGATTCCCCCATCCAAAATCTGTCGGCCCAGCTCTTCAACTGCCGCCCTCTAGAGCGCTGACCTCTTTGGCTGAGAATCCCTACCCCTCCAACCGATGTGCGAACACACTCCGATCCTGTGCCGACCCGGAGAAGAAAGAAATTCAACCAAGCTATCGCGACGGATGTTCTTATTCCATTGTAGGTGGGAGCCCCTGGCGTCTCACAGTCTAGCACGTTGTGGTCATCTCACAGGTGCAACAACAGACTTGGATGAGGATGGTGTTTCCACAACAGACTAGGATGACTTGGATGAAGATGGTTGTCCCTGAAGGCTCTTAGCGACCACAAGCACACCTTTGGCCTTCACACTACGCAGCTCTTCAGGGGGCACTTTGTAGGGCAAACCAAACTCAGAAACAACCAAGTCACTTGAGGGATGAGACTTCCCCTCCCCAAAATTGCCAAGTACAGGGGCCGCGCCAAGATTCTTTGGGATGTCCTGTGCTTTGGGGGCAAAAACCACCGGCCCTTGCTTCGGGGGTGTCAGAGGCGCCACAGATACAACTGCACCCGAAACTGGAGCCCTATAGCTATGCCTTCGGAACACTCGCAACAGATGCAGTGACCACCGGGCCCCTGGACTTTGCAATGGGAACGGCAACCGAAGATGTGGTGATGACAGGTTGTGAAGGACCAGAACTCGAACCAGAAGAGGATGCTTGGGTGGCACCGACGAAGATGCTCCAGACCCTCCTACCTTTGAGAGGACACTCTCAACAAAATCCCTTCCTATGACATGGCCCCTCGTTTGGTGGAACAGAAGGATTTCTGAACCTGTGTGGGATGCACTCTCCGCGAAGAAGTCTCTCTTGAAGCCCTCTCTGAGCGTTGACCCTTTTCCCATGCCTCTCACCTCTGAACTTTACCTTTGGTGGATTTTCCGGGGGATCCTTATAGGTGGCTCACTGGACATGCAAAACGCTTGCGCCCTTACCACACCAAATTCCGGTCCACGCAAGCGCAGGTCACCGGCTGATCAGGCTCGAATGCTCGACGGTGGTGCCAGTCAGCAAAGCCGGGAGCACACCCGATGGAGGAGAAAAAAACAGCGAGGAGCCGAAGGAAAGAAACGACAGAGACAAACCGAAAAGAAAGAACCCAGAGCGAGCGCGGCTGATAACCTAAGTTTCAAGGTTTGCAGCCTTGCAATGCGCTCTTTTCTTGAGCCAAACATGAATAAATGCGAACCAATCAATGCCAAATCTAATTGAAGGAATGGTGCACCTAAAATACATATGATGCAGGCTGTGTGGAGCAAACTAGTGTATATTCAAAATTCACAGAAGATCGAGATGAAGAATACTTATATATGATTATTGTATAAGACAGAAATTAAAAACTAAGATTTCGATGAAGTTAGACCATGTATATACGGTAGCTACATTTAAATATACGGGACTTTTAAATATACGAACAGGTATTTTAGACTACCTCCGGGAAGGTTTTCCTTGGCCATTTAAACATACGCAATCCAATTCATTTAAACATACGGAATCCAATTCATTTAAACACACGGCAATTGCCTTTAAAATATACGAACTGGATCGAACTGGTATTTCATGCTGCCTTCTGGGGCCTCGCGGTCTGGCCCGCCCTCCACATATTTAAATGTCGTTACCATAGATATGTGGATAAATAGGGGGAGAGCAGGGAACGGTGTTTCAACCTTGCTAGAGAAAACTTGACGAACATCCGACATGTGTATATATACACAAATTAGGTGCGCAGTCAATCCAATGGCAGAATCGCACTGTCTCCTGTGAGTGCACGGACAAACATCGCAGTAGTTCGGCAAACTCTTCCTGGACTTTTCTCTGCCTGGCAGGGCTGAGGTGAACGCACTCCCCAAATACACTTCGTCAGTGGCGTTTCCCACAAGCAATGCTGCGACGGGAAACAGCGAGCACAAAAGCAAGGGTTGTAGGCCGCCAAAAAAGCCAGGCAGACTCGACATGTCTTTGCCTAGCTGCAAGAAAGTTAGACATGGCTTAGCAAGCCATGGACCACAGGCCCATGATCCAGGATGAGGCAACTGAAAAAAGAAACGCATTTCTGAATTTTCCAAGGACCCAGGCATGCCATGGATGATAAAAATCAATCTCTCAGAGTCCAGAATCCTGAGAGCCAAGTGAGATTTGTGAAGGCACAGTTCTGGTCACAAATCTACGCCGCCAAAAAAAGCATAGCAAGTTCATGCAAACAATTCACCAAATTTATTTCAGCCTTGAATAGGAGCTCTTTCTATGGACCACATTTGAAGATGCTTCAGGACCAGACTGTTGAAAGTACTGAGGATCATCTTCTCCCCAGCTTGCCAGTAGGTGGCAACCTTCCCTTTGTGCCTGGATAGTGCCATCAGCGGTGAGTTGCGAAGTCCAACCCCCCCCGCCCCCAAAAAAAAACGGAAGAAAAAATAACTTGCCTGGAGCATGAAAAATATCAGAAATATATACAAGAAACCGTTTTCCAGATTGTTGGCTGGTTTCTGTTGGTTCCTTCTGGAAGACGAACTTGCCAGCGATCCACCCACTCACGTGCCTCAATGCTCTCAACGGATGCCTGCGCACCAAAACTCAACCCACCTCCATGTCGCATCATGTCGCATCATGTCGCTCATCAGCCGACTGGACATATTGAGCCATTGAGTCCTTAAGTGCTGCATCATGCCAACAATAGTAGCCCAGCATTAGCCCAGCATAGCCTAGCAATAGGACTTGAGCCACCTTCTCTGAATGTAAAGTTGCATCTTAAGCCCGTCAAAGCAAAGAATAATGGAAAATCAGGTGCAAATGCAAAGGGCAGCCTTAACATACATCATCAAAATATTTATATGGCTCAAAAAGTGGGTATGGATCGTTACGCGATGATCCGGACG